AAACTAATTATATTCCTTTCCTCCCTCTCCTCCTTCTACCTTCTTCACCTCCAACAGATGAAAAGACTGAGTTGACTCTTGAATTGCTGCATTTAATATTCCACTATATTAATGTGAAATGAAACAAAATGACAGTTTGCATTACTATGTTGCTGTTCACAACCTGGAGTGAGGGGCTGAAATTTTACTAAAATTCAAATGTGATGCAAGTAGCAGTATAAATGGAACATCAGAGGTATAAACATTTTCTGCCTTGCAGCCATGCAAATTGGGAATAGTTCTGTGAAAGTCAGTCAGGTTTCATCAGTATACTGTAGTTTCCTCAGGGTAAGTGAGAAAAAACTTGAGACACCCCCCCCCTTACAGGCAGTGTAGAGCAACATGCTTTGATACTCAGTGTCTTTACTAAATGGTGACTTTTGCATGCAGAAGGAATTCAGAGAGGAAAACAGCTAATCTCAGGTATAAGATAACATCTCTTTTTTTTCAGGCTTATCTCTGTTTTTTTCCTGAAATGCTCCCTTTTTTTATCTTTCTGACCTTTAAACACCACCAAAAGCACCATCTGGTGACAAGGCACCTTGCAACACTTTTCCCCTCATGCTTATATTTGGGTTAATTTACACTCAGCATGAAATATATCATTATAAATCACTGCTAGATCATATCAATGGTATCACTGAAACGGCCTAAAAATCTTTCTGTTTGCAGAGGATGGGGGAAAAAAACCAACAACCCTAAGTTGAACCTTAACTATAGCTATTAAAGTTAAAAAGGTAAAGTTAAGATAGCATGCAGTTTACCAGGCAGAGGATATCTCCACTCTTATCAGTGAAAAGAGGAACAAAAAATTGTGACTGATTTATTGAGTTTCTTTTGTAAGATTGATTTTTATCTGATAAAGGAGTTTCAAGGACTGCATATGTAGAGCCAGCACAGGGATTTCAATTACACTCACCCATACCTTTAAAAATAATTATTGTCAAGGTTAAATTCTCTCATCCGTTGTATTTTGACTGAATTGGCCTTAAAAATTGATTTAAGCGTTGTGGTAAGAATGGAAAGAAACAGCCACTAGATGGCATTTTTAGTCTAGCTTTTACAGCTGGGCAATTTCAGCTACTGTCCTAAATATAAGGCCTCATGTTCTCTCAGTCATGACAACTGTGATCCTATTCCAAGTTAAGCTAAGCCTTGCTGGAGTGGTTAGATTCAACTGCTATTTTCCCTTCAACATAGCTGGTAGAAGATAAGGATAGCACAGGTTCTAGAACTTGAATGACCTTGATGGAGGAGCTTTGCTGAGGAATGTTTATGTGCAGAGGAAGACAATTTAGAAGGAAAACAGAGGAAATGAAGTTTCTGCAAATCCTCAAAAAGTACTGATGCATAGCACATGAATTGCCTTTGAGGGGGACATTTGTACTAGAGGCGCTAGCTAGAATACTGTTAGGAGTTCAGACAAGCAAAGTGGTAATAGTGGCTTGATTCCTATGGTCTTACAAAACACAGCACTTTGTAAATTGATGGTCACGTCTGTATGTGCAAGCACTAAAACATAGCTCAGATCAAAAGTGGAATTATTAAATAGTAGAAGTTTGTACTGTTTAGTTAGTATCTTCTGAGGGTCTCAAAGCATATTATATAGTACACAGTCCTTGGGTTTGATTATCCTCATCTCATGGATAACAAGATAAAACAATGACGGTAAAAGAAATAAAGAAGTTCTTGCTGTAAGGCTCTCAAGTTAACTCTATTTCAACCAATATATTAACAAGTCAAGAATCTGTATAAGGAACACCAATGAATATGGTTCCTTGTACCCCAGAATATTATTACTAGGATAACTTTGCTAAAGGAGAAAGAATCATCAGTGAAGCTCTTCATGCTACCCCTTCTGAAAAGTAACTTAGATTGTTCCCCACCAAAAGACTTAAAATCACCAATGAATCAGTTTTATTTTTGTTATTTTTGCTATGTTTTCCTGGTAGACTATATTTTCAGCTACAGGGAAAACACTGTACAGCAAAGCTTAATCTAACTGAATACTATACCTTCATCATCCTGATTGCGTTATTCATTGAATATACAATAAAATTCACTATTTCATGTAATATTTGATATTTTTTCTTGCAGTTTGCTTTTATAATCTCAAAATAAATGAAGTGCATTAAGTTGTAGAATGTAGTTTATACCTTTAAAACCATACAGAAATTAAATGTTTGTGCTTTTTTATTGGATGACCAGGGTTTCAAGAAATGAAAAGTATATAAAAGGCTTCCTTTTATATTTTGCTTCACCATGGTAAAAATAGATCATGTTCTTTAATCCAACAACTGAAAAAACCCTATAAATAAAATAAAATTTGTTTCTGAAGGAAGGTATAGATCAGTTTTTCCCAGAAACTGAACACCTTGGGGGATTCAGCATTTAAAGCTCTTTACAATAGCTAAGCTTTTACAATAACCTTGTGAGCTAAACATTATCCTTCTGTTGTACATGAGTAAACCACCCTTAAAGAAGCTTAAAGTACTGTGTTCAAGGTCACAGAATGGACACATTCTGTGGATAAGTAAGATTTTTATTTCATTAGACTGAGTGGCTGTAGCTGGGGAAAAACTGGACAAAGTTTTGGTATACAAGCCCTCTTTACCTTTTATGAAAGACTGAGTGAGCAGAAACCTACTTATATGCCTAGAATGAGAGAAAACACTGAAAATACTAATCAGTGACCTGCTCTGTGAAAGTGTATACTAATACTAATGCAGCAGTACTTTGGTAGCTTGGTAAAAATTTAACCAATATTACTTACCATATATAGAGAGCTTAATCAGGAAAGTATTTTAATTTACCCTAATAAAATGTACTTGGACTATCAAATATGTAAGGTTCTTTTGAAAGACTTTTTACATTTTAAAATGAGTCTCTTCAGGTAGGTTTTAATCTTGACAGGGACATAAGATTAATGACAACAATAATTTAATTCTGACTGGGCAAGAAGTCATTCAAGATGCACAAAGTATGTCAGAATTTGAGTGAAAGGATTAAGCTGAAGTAGAAACTGTTAGTCCCAAAAGATGGGAAGAATTGTGATATAGACTAAGAATAGTTTTTAAAACAGAGGTAGGCTTTCTAGAACTTAAAAAAAGAAAAGCCCAGAAACTTGGGAGGGGTAACTCTTAGCTGTACTTAGATTATTCTACTATAGTAGAATCAAGGTTTCTATGAAACTGAAAGTAAACAATCAAATCATTCCTTGATCTGAAATAGATGCATCAGTTGGAGATATCAAACAGCATTTCTGTTAATGAAAGTCCAATAAAAACAAACAGTGCTGTAAGTAGGGAGAGGTAGGTCTATTCAAAATAAAGGACAGAAATGCCCACTTGATTTTAAAGTCTCATTTATTTAATTTGTTAAAGAAATTAAGATACATTAAATAGATTTTCTGCAATACCAGTTTGCATTACTAGTAAAGTTACATTCATAATAGCTAAAAACATTATATTTTGTAATGATTTTCCATTTCCTTTAGCATCTGCTGTATAAGAATCTCACACCTAAAACAACGCCAAATTGGCCCTCACAACATTCCTGTGAGGTAGGTCAGTGTTACCCTCATTTTATATAAGAGGAAACTAAGGAACAGAGCGTTTTAGGTCAGCATACCAGAAAAACTGTGGACGAGTCAGGTCTAGAATTCTAGTCTTCCATTCCTTATACTGTGCTTCACATCTAGTGTCTTTCTCCCTTTCTGAAAAGGATGACCCCATCATAGCTGTTCTCCTCTTTCACCCTGCTTTCGTTCACATTGCACATCTTTGATGATTTCTCCATCTAAGCTGATGAAAACTGATAAACATCAGCAATTTCTATCTGAACTATACAGAAGTAGAACATTTGAAGCCCAGAATTAAAGTAACTGAAAATAGACTGTGGGTAGTTACAGATAACATCACTGTATTTAGTACTGGACACACAAGTCCGAGTTTTGTCACTAAGCTGCAGAAGCAGTAATACTAACACATAGCTTTTCTAAAGCAACTTCCTTTTGAAGAGGTAAAAGGACTCAGAACTGATGAAAGCTCGTATCTGGAGGGAGTATCCCTGACAGACTGCCATAGTGAGGGGATGATTTGTGCAGCAATGCACTTTCAGTGCAGTCAAGGTCTACCCATGTTAGGTCCCTAAAGTAAACATCTACTTTGTTTAGGGCAGACAATGAAGGAGGTCATCTTGCAGAGCAAAATCACTTAACTGAGGTAGAATCTGAACAATTGAGAACCACAGCACATGTACCTGAATTGTTACAGATGTTCTTTTCAACTAAATTGACAAGGGCATTCTAGTTACATATGCTGCATGGGCTAAAAGAACAAGTGTCCAAACAACACTGTGCAATAAAATGGCCTGCTTTTGAACAGTGTTTATATTGTTGTTATAAATTAGTTATAAAATAGAATCTTAGAACAGTAACTTTAAAATATATATATAGTTTTCATACCAGTGCCTACTTGAGGCCAGTAAAGAAGTTTTTTCTAATGCTACTCATGTGCACTGTATGTGTTGACAGACAGCAAGAATACAGCAAAAGCAGACAGCGCTCAGTAAATGCTAACAAGAGATCAGTAAGGAAAATTTTTTGTCCAAAATTCTTGACTACAGTTTCATCATGTATTAAATGAGACAATTAGAAGTTGTGGCCATCAGTACAGGTAGATCACTACATAATTTCCCATTTTATATTAAGTGGGATGTTAATGTCACCTTAATTTTTAGAGTTTCAGGTCTTTGAGAACACTCTAGTTTACTCAAATATCCCTTACATTAAAAAGTGCTAGTTAAAAAGATCCCATTTTTCAAAAGAATGAGCAATTCAAATAAAATACAAAATCAGAAGATTGTCCCCCTCTAAGTAGAATGTTCATGGAAATGGCTCTCATGTGTTCCATGAGTGATCTGAAGACCAGAGTTTCTGTTTATAGTATCTCAGATGTGGAAGCTCTTGGATATCTCAGGTCTATTATCAGTTTTCTTCAGGCCTTGAAGGAAGCTCGAACTACTCTCCCCTTAAGAGGCTGAGGGGGGCGGAAGTTATTCACCATTTGGATCCTCTGGTCTTCCTCACTGGTGAAGAAGAGCATGCGGAATTTCTCCAGCTGTAAATTCAGGTGAAATAATTTACTGCTTAAGAGGGTAATCGATATTAATTTTTTTTTTTTTTTTTTAAAAAGGACCAAAGGAAAGTATTCACTACGTTTTAATCTGTTAATAGAACAGCTTCAAGCAAAGATCCTAGAGAGTATTAAGAGAGAAAAGCAGAAGCCCTGATTATTGAGCAGACTGATTATTCACAGGCTAATGGTCTTTTAACTTAGCCCCATTGCAAATCAAAACAGTCACTGCCTGTTTCTCCAGTGTTGAATCCTACAAGAACTGGGAGAGTATCAAAAGTTTACCTGTTTCTCAGAAATTCTGATGGGTTCTTTCAGCACTATCCATGTTACACTCTCATTAAGGGGTGGTGTTGTCAAAGAACCAAGGTATGTCCAATAATCTAGACTCAAAGGCAGGAGACATTTGGGGTTGAAGCTTTGAAATTGAGCTTTTGTTCCCTGGGAAAAAAATTGATACTTGAAATTTATTTTTACTTTTAAGTGCAGGTTAAAGAACTCTTTTTTGAAAGAGAAAAAAGTGCTAAAGTAATATTAAAAGGTAGGGGAAAGAAAGTCTATATTTGGCTGCCTTATAACAACTTTTATCTAAGAGTAGCGTGGCAAGCATGATGCCTGCTGCTGACTTACTGGACTTTGAGTTCTTGCCCCATTGCCTTTATCACAATTCAGTTCTTATCACAAAAGGTCTAAAAATAATGCAGGAAGTGTATTCTGTATATAGTGTTCAGCGTGAGCTATAGATAATATCGTGGCAGAATTCCTTGTCTCATTACTTGCTATTTTCTATGCTTCCCATCTATTTCAGTAGAAAATTTGAAACTATGGAAAACTTGGCCCCAAACAGTCATTGTCTGCTAGGACAAATATTGGCTTTAAAAATCAAATGTTCAAGTCTAAAATTAGAGGAAGGTGGATCAATCAAAAGACCAGTAGCAATAGAAGGAGGTGCTGCCTAAAGTAGTGATTGCCTTAACTACCACAGTCTGGGGCAAGATTTTTCAGCCTGTAGGAGTATCTAAAAGGTACTTAGTCACTCAGAAAGCACTGTCCAACTGCCTGTAAAATTGCTCATAAGGAACAGAATGAGCAGCTTGTCCCCAGTGGCAAACCTGCAGACCTTCCATGACTATGACTTAAAATCATAGGATCGTTTAGGTTGGAAAAGACCCTTAAGATCGAGTCCAACCATTAACCTCTCACTGCCAAGTCCACCACTAAACCATGTCCCTAAGCACCACGTCTACCCATCTTTTAAATACCTCCAGGGATGGGGACTCAACCACTTCCCTGGGCAGCCTGTTCCAATGCCTGACTACCCTTTCAGTGAAGAAGTTTTTCCTAATATCCAATCTAAACTTCCCCTGGCACAGCTTGAGGCCATTTCTTTTTGAGGCCATTTCTTTTTGAGGCCATTGAGGCCAAGTTAGCGATCCCTAAGGATCACTATTTCTTCCCTGCAAGTGGAAGAAATCACTTAAACATCAAAGTATCTTTTAGTGTGTCTGCAGCCTATATACTGCTGTAACTGTCTTCATTTCCTGTCTTTTAGAAGCATATACAGAGGAATGAGAAATAATATGCCCACTCAAGTATTAGATACAGTTTATTTTGCATATTAGAACTTACGCATATTATAGAAGGCATTAACCTCATGTATATCCAGAAAGGATAACATTTGTAATGGTCTAATCAGTCTGCACTTGAGAAAGTGCAGCAGGTAACAATCTTCAGCAAAGCTCTCAGATACATCTGGTTAAAGACCACCTTTAGGGATCACTGTAAGAATAGACGAGCTCAGGACCTCGTTAAGATCGTCCCCTGACAGAGCTTTGCAGCAGAAGATGGTCAGCCAGCTTTGACTTGTTCAAGGCTAGGCTCAATGGAAAAGGATTATTTTGCTGAGTGTAAGAGCTGAGCCTGAAGGGTCATGGAGCTTTTGATTTTAGATACTCCGGGAAAGGTAGAACCTCTGAAGTGGGATCAGCATAGCCTTGGGAGGCACCTGAGATCAGGCAAATAAGCTGAACTTTGGAGGGGAAGAGAATACAACTACAGTGATGTTCTACTGATGGGGAGATTTGTGGTGGGTGATTTTCCATTTTTGTCTCAAACATGTACATGAGCTTGATTTTTTAAGGGATAGCCCAGAAACAAATTTAAAGAGCTCAGAACTTACTTTAAATTTTACCATGTACAAAGCATCAGTGAGTCTGTTCATATTGGCATGTTCTTTCCCAATCTAAAATAATGGAATAGACAGGTTAAATAAGAATGACTATAATTATGCTTTGAATAGGTGTTGTTTTCTTATCTGATTCTCAACATTCCTACTAAAGTAAGTTTAACAGCAATTTGCAATGAGCTACTGCTTCCAATAAGTCATCTGTTTTCCTTAAGCACTTCTTAAATATGTGGCTTGGTTCTCAAACACTTGACAGCATAATGCTTTTCATCATGTAAACATGCTATTTTTGTGATTCTTACCTCCAAGAAAACACCAACTACTGCCAAGCCATCTGGAGCTGCTGCTGCTTCTCCAAATGTTGCATATTTTCTGGCATTCCAGTGAACTAAGTGGAGCTTTAAAGAAAAGCAACAAATAAGAATTAAACAAATTAGTGATAGAAGCTGTGAACACAGGTTGTCTCATGTTAACAGGCACTAATGGTCATTCGTAACAGAATGTAGGTTTTGCTCCAAAGGCAACTTTAGAAACATGAACAAGTTCAATATTTTGGACCAGTCCATGAGCATGGACAGACACTAAACACAGTTTCTATACGTCAGACTTAAATTTGAAACAAATCAGGCATTAACCTGTAACCCAGCTCCCCGCTACAGGCCTTCGCCCAGTGAAGCACTATGCTCTAGCACGCACTGGTAGACTCCAGGATGCTACGCTACTGTAGCATTTGGGATAGGCTGTGCTGGGAAATGCCTGTGCCTTGTCCTAGCTTTGCAGAACTCTCTCAAGAGGCCCCAGATGAAGCCATTAAGCTACGGATACCACCAGCATGGTCATTTCAGGGGCTGTGATCACCAGCTGAAGCCTAAGCTAACTGTGCCAGGTAGTGGAGCTATACATGGCTTCTCAGCATTATGTTTGTCAGTATATCCTTCCTGTCTGTATAAGTAAAAGGATGCAATCAATTGCGTGCAGCAGGCTAAACTACGCAGCAAAGGACTGTTAGAGGTGCTGTGTGAGCACAGCAGCTGAACTGTGGGGCTAGCTGTGTCCTGTTGACCAGGATAAGATGACTGAGAATCTTGGAGAAAGGGCTGCACTGAGGGGATAAGTTTGCATTCTAAAAACCAAGGTGATCAACAGGTAATAACTTCCGCGTAAGGAATAAAATTCTCATTAAAGTCTGTGCTGACCTAACCATGGTGAGTAAGCAATCGGAATCCTAAGGGACATGCAGTTCCCGCTGCAGACAAAGTCATTTGTTAACAGCATTTGCATGAATTAATCCCATCTGTAAAAACACATCATTACCTCACATGGAAAAGCTTTGCCATCAATTGTATGCTCCGATCCCTGGCTGTGTTTTGTCCCCCAGTGAAAGTGAAACTGCTTTAGCCGAAATGGATTCTCAAAGGGACCACCGCTGATTGCTAGGCAGGAAAAAAAAAAGGAAAAAGAAAAAGCTTAAGCATTCTGGCTTTTTAGCTTCCTGTTAGTAAAAACTAACCACTGTTGGCACAGCAGTGGAAAAAAGCCAGCAGCATCTCCCAGTCGCCAATATCAAAGATATGCATCATCCAGACATGTAGAAGGGTTGTATTTCTTAATGGAAAGCACCTGAATTAATGTAAAAATTTGAATTAAAAAACATTGAGTAGCTACTTGTACAGAATTTTGTGGCTTTTTTGAAAGAGTATATTTAACATATAAAGATGTAGTAGCTTTGTTACGGTTATGCCTTTCTTGTTAAAAACAATAAAGGCAAGATGAATATTAAAAAAATAAATCGCAATTTAAAACTCATGTACCTAAAATATTTGACAGTACTACTTGAGGGGGTTTTTTTTGTGCAAAAGAGCATAGATACTTAGCTGAATTGTCTACCTGATACTCAAGGTATTTCCTCTGTACAGTGTCTTTCCTTCCTGTGGAGGTTATCTATATTCTGTTCCCTTTAAATACCTGATCCCATACAAGGGGTAATATAATAGCTTGTACTTTATATGACACCATTCAGAATCTCAAATCACCTTATAAAGGTGAGTAAATGCTATAGAGAAACTTCATACATCATTTAGAAATAACACTTAAGAACAGATGAATGTTTAAGATGCCACCTATAGAAGATACTTCAACAGCATCAGTAATCCTCCTGTAATTTTATATGGCACTAAATCAAATAAATTTTGCCCAACAGACATGAAAACCTGATCAAAATAATATATTAAGGAAATTACATTTAGTATCTGTAAAGCACTTATCCTCAGTATAGTCCATAACATTTTATTAAAAAAAGATTAAAGCTGGGGCTTGCACAGTGCTACCACGTTGCACGTGCATAGTTCCAGATGGCTTGTATGCAGGAACCTGGCCTTGCCAAAGTGAAGGTTTTAGTATTAATTAAGAATATAAGTACCTCCTAGTATGTTTTTCTGAACTTAGTAATGAAATGCATCACCTGTCTCAAACATTATTTTAAGAAATCTAGCTATGATGGATTACTGTGAAAATTCTGTTGTGCCATTTACGCAGAGCTGTGAGTCACTAGATCTATTTCAACACAACTAAAAACACTTTAAACCATGTTTTCCACTCCTAGCAGTCTTCTTCCTTGAAAGTGTTATTAAAACAAGGCATGTGCTTCGTATAGAAAGGGCAGAGGTTTTCATTCCTGCATGTGCTCTGAGGCTATATCTGTAAATGCAGGGTAATAGATGATGTTCTTAAACTTATAAAGCTGGATAAAGTTCACTGTTACATAGATATAGTTCAGCTTAGAATTGCACAAAAGTAGAAGTAGTTAGCAAGCTAAGATAATACTTCCAGATATATTCTACAAATTCTCTTTGTAGGGTGACATGCTTAATGGATCTGCGTAGTGAGATTTTGGAAAATGCATATCCAGTCTTCTCTTCAAATTCAGTGAAGATGCTCAAAAGCCTGACCATTCAGTTGGGCAGGTTCTTAGGTTCATTCCAGAAGAGAAATTTCAAAACAGAACATCTGGAAGTTTAACCCCCAGCCCTTATTTCAAAGGGTTACCAGCACAGACAAGTCACTTCACAGAAAAAGTAACTTGCTTTGAGTATCTAGGATATCCTATTTAGCTAGAATCAATAAACACACCCAAATGGAAGATGAAATCAGCTGATAGGTTTAAAAATTCTTCAGAGCATTGTTTTAAAATGTTCTTTCCATTTATCAGCTACTTCTTCATCTCCATTTGAATGCTCTTCCCCTACCCCCAGACATAAAAGCAAGGTCTACCATGGAAGTAGAATTAACATGATAATCAATCAAGTAAAGATTTATATTCTCTGCCAAGAGCTAAGAGACAAGAATAATATACAACTGCAGATAGTTCAACATCCACAAGCTGCTACCAACTCAGAATTAGCTGAAGATTATCATTTCTGAAGAAACTGAACTGCTATGAGGCAGGGGGGAAAGAAAACAATGCAAGGCAACAGCTAGTGACTGGTCCAGGTACCACTTGTTATAGTGGACTATGATTATGATGACTGCGCTGTATGACCTCATCTCCACTAATCCTCTTCTCTTCCCTACCCCTGCGGGTGGAAACTGGGCAGTGAGCCAGACAGAGCTGGCATGTGTGTTAGCATCTTTGATTTGGATGATCATGGAAACAGAGCAGCGAGGAGCGTACATACCTACTCTGCGCGCCGGATGTGGTCTAGGACTGCTGGAGAGATGCATGGATTCCCTGCCTAGCAAACTGACAATCCCCATTTAAGAGGGAAGCACTGCAAACAAACTTCTAACTTTCCTGACGCGAGAGCTTTTCCTAATGCAGAAACACTATGCTGCTGTGCAATATTGCATTGCTAGAGAGACTCAAGCGAAGACAATAAATGTGAGGCTCAAGACAACAAAATGTAAAGGGTTCTGGTCATATGCCTTCTTCTAAACTGAAATTCTACATCATATAAAATATACTATACAGGATGTACTTAATTGTTTCTCTCACTAAATCACAAAATGGTATTCCGAGTTAGTTGGCTGCATGTTAGTCTCACCTGTCTTGTCATCAGTGTCTTCAAACTCAACCATAACTGAATGGCCATTGTTGGAGATGTTGAGAGATGTACATGATTCATAGGAGATAAGCAGCGGCTTCAGATTAGGGTCATAAACTGCTCTTGCAGAAACTATATCGATAGGTGACTGGCGGTTCCCTTGGGCAATAGGATAAGATTTGTGCCACTCTGAAGGTCCTTCAAAAGGAACGAAAGGAAACACCATTATTTTCTTCCTACTATACACAAAATAATCATTACAGGTTTTCATGAGGCTTAAAGTAAAGCTTGCTGAGCAGGAGTGACTTGAAAGTTTGGTATCCAAGAAGTTCACCTAAATTCTAAACTGGTGTGTTTTTATTAGGACAAACAGGCTGCAACAAGATGGGGGATTCAAGTGTCTTGTACAAAACACACTGAGGAAGTCACAGCACATCAACAGACAGCTGTATCTCAAGTTCCTTGTGCCACTAATTTTCTTCAAAGTTTGTAATTGCATTGCTAAGGTATCTGAAGACCTTCCAGGGTGGGTGCAGGTGGAAACACACTTGCACGTACACATACACTCCCTCAAAGAAACAGCATTTAATTCTTCCTGGGAAAGATACTGTAAAAGCTCCAGTGATTCAACTCAGATGCAGATGACTCAATCTCTTCGCTACTGACTATGCAGTTATTTTTAAAACCATTTTATGACTGCAGTAAATCTTTGAGGCAGCTTCATTCTTCACTCATGCCCATTATGGTATCTCTCTACCCTGAGCGAAGGGTATAGTGTGATAATTAACATTTTTGGACTTCCTGACCCCGATAGAGTGGGGAGAAAGACCAATTTAATAACACAGCTCTCCGCTGCCAGAGCTGGAACGTTCTTATGCTGTTGGAGATAACAAAACCTTATCTATAGCAAAGAATTACTTATTCTTACCACTTCCTTTTCTACTTTGGTATGGTAGTGCAAGCAGCAATTAAATTCTTTTACTGCTTATGTTCAGAAAGTATTAACAGTTTTACTTTAAGATTGCCAAGAAGCACATTTTTGATTGTAGCATTCCATATACTTTCACAAGTGGAAACTTTATTTTAATCAAGCACAGGTATTTACCCTCCTTGAGTTTATGTAACCAAAACAGTGATCTATTATACTCTTATTGGTCTTTGGCATTTTCTGAAAAGCTAAGCTTATAAAATAATATCTTTTCTCAGCCTGCCTATAAAGCAGATTTAAGATTTAAATGCTGTTACACAAGCTTAGGCAATATAATTTGTTTCTTATGAGCTTTGTGAGAATATACAGGGCTTTATTATTGCTGCCTATATGCCCAAACACATAACACTATCTACTAGCACTAACCAGCTTCACTTAGCATTCAAATTTGCTCACAGAAACTAAAATAATTGCTCTTAAGAGAGAGACAGGCTCCTGAAGGTTATGCAAAAGACTTTTGTTGGACACTCAGCACCTAAAATAATTGCTGTCAAAAGAGAGAGGGACTCCTGAAGGTTATGCAAATGATTGTCTTGTTGTACAGCACCAGTCACTCATCCATCCTTCTCTGTAAAGGGTGCAGGTGCTATAAAACACTGTTGTAGGAATCTTTCAGTAGCTTCACATATCCTCTCACTCTGTGACACACATTCTTGGAGGTGGGAAGCAAAGGAGGATGACTAAATTAAAAACTGTCAAATGAGAAAGCATAAGTTGTTCTCTAAGAGATCTCTGATACTGATCTGTACAATTTATTGATGTTCCAGAAATATATAACATATACCTTATTTTATTCACTTCTGTGGAAGCCTAGATATCACATTTCAACAGCTGCGCAGGATCAGAAGATCTATTACTGCTCTACTAAATCTTCTTTACTTGAAAGTATTGCTTTTGGAAAGACAGACACAGTTAATCCTTTTCATAATAGCTTTTTGGAAAGGGACCCATCTGTAATATCTGCAGCCTGAAAAAAAAAACACTTGGTCCTGCTTCCCTCAGTTTTGGAATATTGATTGCAACAACAAAAGGCAGCAGGCGTAAGTTTGTGCATCTTTTGGTGCCACTTTCTGGGTGCTATTTATTATCAATAAAGTAAATTAATTACCTGCTGTATATACTTGATGCTTGCAGGCAACGAAATGCAGGCAGCTCTGCAGGGCTCAGGCAACAGCTCTAGAAAGAAAGAGTGGGGGAAGATAGAGAGACGCAGCATGGAAACGCTATAACCTACCGTCATCCTGCCCATATCCCCAACTGTGGTGGCCAGTCATTATAGGGGAGCTGCACCCTGCTTTGCTCTCAGCTCTTTGATCGGGGCACTGCTGCTTACCTGCCTTTATAATGGCTCACCGTGGGAGCGGGTCAGCCCCTTAAAGACACAGAGCAACCAAAGCAATTCCCGCAGGACAGGGAAAGCGCCCGCGTTCCTCCTGCTCCCAACTTCGCTGCTCCTGCTGCTGCTCGCTCTGATTGCTAACTTAGCACAGGAGAAGGAAAATGTAAAACTGAGGTAACTGAAGTCCCAGGACTTAGAGAGGAACCAAGACTGTCCAGGTGGGATCAAGTTTAAGAAAAAGTAGTAGTAGTTTCCCATTCTACACCACAAGGAAGCAAAAGCCGTAACCTGCTCCGAGCATCAGGGCACAGTAACGTGTGCAGATTGTAATGGGAACTGCCCTTCTCACTTCTATGTTCTGCAGGGGGAAACATCACCTACTCACTGCCTCTCTTTTCTTAAACACGCTCTCCAGCTGCAAAAAATGAATGATGTTTCCTACCTGATTTGTAATTAAAACTTCAGAATCAGTGCTTAGATGAGATGGAGAACATTCTCATCTCAGAAAAAAAAAAACCAAACATGAAACTTGTGCTACTTTTAAACAAGGTAAAAATCACACCAATTAAGGATAAATTCGCAATCCGATTTTTTTTTTCTTTGTAACTCTAAAGAAACTTTTTAAAAAGACAAAAATAAAAGTGTGGTTATATTAGGGAATGGAACACAGCAGGCTCCAGACAAAGGAGCTGATCTGTGAAGCCTCAGTTATCTGGTATGATCCAGTAGTTGCCTGAACTCCGCTAAACCCATGAAGAGGCTACAATGAGATACCCAATCTGCAGCAGTAAAATGTCTTAAGACATCTTTGTGGCAAGAAAAATGGCTCCTTGGTAGTAATTTTGTTAGATCTGAGGAAATGCTGTCTGTCACGGCTACATTTTATAAACATATTGATTTTTACAAAGATGATAGCACACAGAAATAGGGATTCTTCTATTATGCAATCAAGAAAATGGAAGGAAAAGATCAATGAAAGCATTTTATGCAACTTTTATGTTGTGGTACTGCCTGGTAAGAATTGATTTCCTTTTTCAGGAGCTTTCCATAGGATTCAGCTATAAAACCTTCAAGGTTCACTGATGCAAGCTAAATCACTCAAGAAGGGATGTAAACTGCTGTAAAAGTATCCACAGAATAGTTCCACAATGACTTACTCAGGTCAGCTTCTCAATTTATTTCTGTTAAACTGCTGTGACCTCCTCGGGTCCCTGCATAGGCCTGACGCGCACCAGGCACTGGCACTGCAGGTGTGTCTGTGGCCAAAGAGTCTGCGCACACAGGTCCGCGTGCTGACTCAGCTGCTGGAAGTGGTGCAGCAGCACTGCCACTGGGTTAAAATACTTTGCTGCTTAGCAGGACAAAGGAGATTCGAGAAGTTGTGATGCTTTCGATCTTATTCCTGTGTGGCTCTGCGCTGTGTTAGTAGACAGGGAAGCCAGATGTAGACAGAGTCAGTCAGGTGCAAATAGTTAGGAAAGCTGTTCTAGGCCATGGGGAGAAATACAAAAAATACCAACTTACCAGTGGAAAGAAGAAATGGAAGAGGAATTTTGTATGTTAAAAAAGCAGACTACAGACTGGGGACAACCATATGCAAGACAGAGAATACTGAGCCATGGTTTTCAAGAGAAACTTGAAAACTGAGGCTCAGATCTTGCTCGCAGGGCACAGTGCCATTGAAGTGGCCCAATGTCTACATGCATTTGGCACCATTCACCACTTCAGCTTTTATCTTCTCACGTTCAAAAACATGTAGATGTCCACATATGTGGACTACAAAGGCAGGGCATAGAAAGAACTCTGAGACAAGAGAAAACATGCTGAAGACATGGCAGGAAGTGGACTCCACAAAATGGAGGTTTAAATGGTTGGATTCAGAAAAAGTGAAAAGGGGGAATGGCAATACCTGAGAGGACAGAAAAAAATAGCTTGAGTAAAATTTTAGCTATAAATGATAGCCAGTGTGTATATGTCAGTTTAATGTGCTCCCCCATCCAATCAGCCTTCTTTCTTTTTGAGGAAAATACTGAGTTTTCCTTAAAGCTAGGGTAATACTGCTGCTTGTACAAATATCACATTATTCCATATCCCTGATGCCTCTTGACATTGGCTGCCTCTAAGACTGGATTTTCACTGATTCTGTCTTCAAATTATCATCTGTCACTTCAAAAGTTGCGGTAGTAATCTAATTCTGATCTCAATTTTACCAACTTGAATTGAGGATAATTACATCACACTGTTGAACTTATGGAAGCGAGAAGAACAGAGTGGTAGGTGCTTAAAGGGTGGATTTCTCCAGTGCTGAGCTAAAAGGGAAGTACTCGTGATTTCCACAAATTTCTCACGGGCTTTGACTACGTCTCAGAAGTGTCTGCTGAGCAGTGAATGACAGGAAGACATAATTCCATTTGCTACAGTGAAACGTTTCAAGCTACCTTAAAGAATAATTCTGTCTTCCCCAGTCTTCATACTTACAGTTTTATTCCTCTTTGACAGTAACGATGAGTGAACAAAGCAGCAGCCTAGGACAAATTTATGGGTTCTTCTGAACCTGTCACTATTTTGCGATACTGAACTAACAACAAATGCTTCAGTTTTCCCATCTCTATATATGAAATAATTTTCTTTATGATTTATTTTGAGCTCCCTTTATTAAAATTGCTATAGAAGAACTAACCATGACAGTTAGAAAGCTCCAGGTAAGACTGGAATGCCAAATAGAAGTTGAACATATTAAGCTTTGCAGGATTGAGGAAATGGGATTTTTGAATCCCTAAGGCAAGTTGTCTCTGTAATACAGATCTGGAGTCATCGGGAGGTATTCACACAAAGAGATCATGGTCACTTGAGGATAATGCTTTTGGTATATATTACTGCATCACTGTAGAGGGGCAGAGCTGCATTTTAGGGAACATAAAATGAAAGAATCGAATTGAATCAAATCAAATCGAATTGAATTGTTTAGGTTGGAAAAGACCTTTAAGATCATCGAGTCCAACCGTTAACCTAGCACTG